CAAATCCGGCTGCAGCTCCCTGCTGCAGCCACCAGGGACTGTCCGAATTATCAAAGCTCTCTGAATCTTTTTGGAAGATTCGGAGAGCTTTGAATCGATTCAGACCTTTTAATTGGTTTGAAGCTCTCCAAATCTTCCGGAGAGCTTTGATTCCGATTCAGAGATTTGGCCACCGAATCGGGCTGAATCTCTTCCGAATCAAATCACCACCCAAAGCTTTGCTCGGCCCTACAGTTCTGTAGTAGCTGACATCTGTTGCAGTAGCTGACGTTACCATCTGTTGATGTCTGTGTATAAAATCAACCTAGTTCTTGTTGGACAGATGTCTTTATTGTGGTCGATTTGCATGTTGTCCAGTAAATAAATTAACTTTGAAAAGTTTATGTTTCATAACAAAGACAGTCCTTCATGTTTAGGGCTAAAGTGCTGCATCAGATCTGCACAGAGGAATCCTGTCCTGCTGTATCCCATGTTTGTACCTGTCTTGTGTGTAGATGACTTCAGCCTCAGAGCATGTTTACCTGGCACCTTTCCCCAGCTCAGAATTCACCCTTCTCATAAAGTTTGCTTGTACTGAGAAGGACAGTAGTTTATGTTGGGTACCTTTGGCTGTAATCCTTGGGAGAGAGCTGTGCAGCTTCCCTATTTAGATTTGAACTACAAAGACCTTCCTTTTGAAGCAACGTTTTGGTACTAACTTTTTTCTCTGTGTTCCTTTCAGCCAAAGTCAGCTAGGCAGCTTCTGGAAATGTTGGCTAATGGAAACAAAAACCGCACACAGCACCCCACAGATGTCAATGCCACGTCTTCACGCTCACATGCCGTCTTCCAGGTGAGGGGCAGCACCAACTTCTGTTAGGATGTCATGGGGCTTTTCACTTCAGGTATGGGTGCCCAAATTGACCCAGGTGAAGATGGGAATCAAAATCTTGTGAGGCCTGGCATTTAAGGGTTCCTTATGATTTTTTATTAAGTGTATTGTGAAGAAAGGTTGTGATTTCTTCTGAAGCATCTGACAGGAGCTACTGTCAGGCAAGACTTGGGCTGGGTCCGGCTGCCAGTATGTTCTTATAGCTAGGAAACACCTATTGCTGTAAATTCTGACCAAAGTGCAGGATTCTTTCTGCAGTTCATTCAGAATAGTTTTAAGTGTCCCAAATGCTTGAGCTGCCCTTCCAGCTGTCAGGAAGCTTTTTTAAATATTTGGCTTAAGTTTTCCCTTGTTCATTCCTATGCTCCTGTGTATTTATTACGTTCAACCAGGGGTCAGCAACCTACAGCTTGCAGCAGCCTGCAAAGAGATGTGGATTCAGCCCACTGCAGGGGAGAGTACCTCCGCTGCCCTGTGCTATGTATTGCTCTGTCATGTGCCACTTCCCTCCGCAGTATCCAGCAGATGTCTGTCCTGTTCTGTTTTGAGGGCTGTTTTGTAGCCTTCACTTACCCTCACTGTCAATCCCTTTTCCCAATTGCTGCTGAGGATAGAAATCTGCAGCACTTGGTGGCAAGGGTAAATGGAGGCTCCACTGGGGGGGGAGGGGGGAGGGGGGCAAGAGAGTGGCCAGTGGCACACAGCAGGAAAGGCTGGGGTGCTGCAGAGAAGGAATCTGCGGCCTTGTTGCTAGTGGCAGCCCTCAGTTCTTAAAGATTGCCAACCCCTACATTAAATATTTAGACTCCTTCCATGGTACCTTATAAATAGGTATTTTTTCCATACCATCCTATTCAGCATTTCCCTAGCTTTACTGATTTGGCTGTCAATACCCTGTCCAGCCTACTGATTATTTGTTCTCTTCTCGGAAATCTTCCAACGTATCTTTATAATGTAACATTCAGTTGAAAAAAGCGGTTCCACCTGGCCTGTGCAGAGAGACTCTGAGACCTCTGATTGCAAGCTCATTTCTAGTGTGCTGCCTTTCATCCCAAATCCGCTCCTGCATTCTCCACACACTAAGCTTGTATGACTGGAATGATTTTCCCCTGAGTCAGGAACCTCAGATTTCTTGAAGTACCAACTGGAGCACCAGTCAGCAACTGCCTCCCTCCTCCCCCAGCTTTGCTGGGGACATCGTTGACTGCTTCAGAGGAGGGTGGAAACCACCACAGAAGCCAGTAGCATTCATGAAGGTGCCTGTATTGGGGGGGTGGGGGAAGGGCTTCCTTCCTGGTCCCTGCAGATAACCAACAACAGTGCATGGTATTGTCAGGCACTTACCACACTGCAATAGAGCTACTATATTTACTCCCATGCCACATGCAACCTTTTTTCCAAAATTTGGAGGGGGTGTGTCTTAAGTGAGAGCTGATTTTTCTTCACTGGAATAAAGTATGGCAAAATAGAAACACAGAGATGTTGTGCTATAATGGCTGCCAACATCCAACATTGCTATCACTTCCTTCTGGCCCAGCAGGCAGAAGGGAGTGGAGTTCAGTTATAACCTTCTCACAGCTGCCCAGGAATTTGCAGTAGCTATTGGCTGAACACTGTAGATTGTGCCTGAAGGAGCCACTAGGCTGGCTCAGGGCAAGTAAACTGCTGTATGCAGTCTGTAGTAACTTGATGAGGTTTGTTGTTTGGAAGCATTACATAAGTCCCTGTAAATTAATAATATAATAATAAGAAGAACCTTCTAGAAGACCTTACTGGGCACATTTACACATACAATTAATGTGACTGAATAAACTCTGTTGCGATTTGAGCTGGAGTAAACTAATCCCACTGTCACCATCTGCACATGCATTTAAGCCAGTGGTTTTCAAACTGGGGAGCGATTCCCCCCGACAGAGGGGCATGAAGGAATGCTGGAGGGACACAGGCAAGAAGTTTGCAAGGAGCTGGCACCGCTGCAGCCTTATGGGGGGAATGCGGGGGTGGGGAGCCCTGGGCAGGCTCTGCCAGTGGGCTGCACTGCTCCTCTGAGGGGACAGGGGTGGGGCGTGAACAAAATTGTAACTCAGAAGGGCTCAGCTCAAAAAGTTTGAAAACCACTAGTTTAAGTGCAGTGATTTACTCCACATTGGATACTACCTGTGTCTGACAGGACCATCCTATTCCAAAAGTAAATTAACCTAACATGCCGTAATTGCAGTGTACATAATCAGTGATGCTTTCCTGCACAGTAAATTAGTCTACTGCGCAGTGAAGCGCACATGTAGATTCACCCACTGTGTTGCACAGTCCGCTATGATTCTGAAACAGTGTTTTTTCCCTATATTTTGCCTTCCAAAAAGGATGTGCATATATTATTTAGGGGTGTATGATATGTGAAAAAATACAGTGACTCCATGTCCCAATTTGGGGATGCAAATACTTGATTACACATATGACACATGATTGAACCAAGAGCTCCAACTCCTATTATACTCTCCCTTTTCAGAAACTTACTGAGTTTGATCATAAACTCATTCTTGCCTCCATTAGTTTGCTCAGAAGACCTTTCAAACCTTCAACACTTCTGATAGTTAATCTAGCTTCCAATCCAAATTTATTCATAACTAGTTGTGGCCACTTGATCTTATGCTCTTGAGTTTTGCCTTAACCAAAAAAAACCCATCTTCTTCTCCCCTAAAATTCATCCCATGAATATATATATATATAAAAGGTAATCATGTTCTCTCTCAATCTTTATTTTATAAAGTTTAAACCAGCAGTCAGCACTGTTTTCCAGCAGCGGGCTATAATGGCTCAGCGTGGGCTCAAGGACTGTGACCAGCACTAGGATCCTGGCTCCACCACTGCTTCTTCCTGCTGTGTGGCTACAATGCAGCACAGGCAAAGCTCCCCAGTACCCAGAAATGGCATAGGCAATGCTCTCACAGCTAAACACTGAAGCTCCCACTCTGTGGGCCAGATCTGGCCCAAAGGCTGTAGGTTGCTAGTATTTTAACCAAGTCAAGTATTTGCATCCCCAAATTGGGACATGGAGTCACTGTATTTTTTCACATATCATACACCCCTAAATAATATATGCACATCCTTTTTGGAAGGCAAAATGTAGGGAAAAAACACTTTTTCAGAATCATGGCAGACTGTGCAATACAGTGGGTGCATCTAGTATTTTAAAGGAGTCTTGTATTGTGGCACTAGTACTTGTATGTCCCTACTGCAGTGATTCACAACCAGGATACTGTGAGATCCTTTCAAGGATGCCCTGGGGTGACATACAATATTAGTACTGTTAGGTGTGCATGCAAAATTCACAAGATAAACCCACAGATTTCCAATAGGAATCCGCAGTTTTAAAAGCGTTATGACTTGTGGTCTTTCTGAGTTCTTTGCAACAGCATTGCTTTAGTTTTTACTGTAGTCAAAAAACAATTGAGAACCAATCTGGCATGTTCTAAGGGGTGCCTTGAGTCCAAGCAGATTAAGAACCACCATTCTAGATTTTCTAAATGTCTTCCCAAACTTAGTATAGTCATCCTTTATCCTGGTCAAAGGGTATTTGACCATATCTTTTCTTCCTATAGAGGAACAAGTCATGGATTCTTGCCTGCTTCCATAAGAATCCTCTGCATCCTCAAATCTGTGTTTTGTATCTTTATTCCTGGTAGACAGCATTCTCTCCTGATGTTTCCAATAATCCTTTGTGACCCGTCCATCTGTTGTTAAAAGTAAATAATGATTACTGTTTAATTCTTCAGATAGTTACAGTTCAAACAAGGGACACAGATTCTGCAAAGGAATTTCTTAAACAATCACATTTTACTCATCGGTAATACATGTGAAAGAGGGAGCTACAAAAAACTGAACAACTACACACACAATTTTTCTTTCAGTGGCCTCAGTATGCCAGATCAGTTCTGGGTTTTTGGTCAACCCTTCCAGGGTCCTGTATTTCTCCTCTTCTGGCCAGCCTTGTCCCTTTTTCTGATCAGTGAGATAGAACCCCTGGTAAGAGCAGAACTGGTTCTTCTGTAAAGGTCCAACTCCTTCCCCCGCTCAGCAACTTCAAGTTCTTCATCAGGTAATTGGTTCTAACTAGTAACCTAGCAACTAAACTACAAACTAGTTCTCCTCAGCTGCTACCAGCTTTTTTTTTCCTACGGTGCTTATAGTTGAATATAAAACCATCAATTACTCTACATTGTTATGGGTATAAGGCAAAAGTGAAGGTATAGTGCAGTGATTCTCAATGAGGATACCTTGAAGACCTTTGAGACGTGTTATGGGGTGCAACATAATGTTAGCACTGTTAGGTGTGCAAACATGATTCACAGGAGAAACCCGAGTTTTCAAATAAGAATCCATAGTCGTAAACACATTCTGACCTGTTGTGATCTTTAAGTTCTGTGCAGCAAAAGAATTGCTCTAGAATTTTATAAAGAGTGAAAACTAAGATCTGGCATTTTTCCAAGAGGTGTCTCAACTAGTGTATTTACTGTCTCTCACAAGACAAGAACTAGGGGTCACAAAATGAAACTAGTAGCTAGTAAGTTTAAAACTAACAAAAGGAAGTTTTTCACATGGTGTGTAATTAAAGTGTAGAAATCATTGCCAGCAGATGTTGTGGAAGCTGACAGTTTAGCCAGATTCAAAAAGGGACTGGACAAATTCTTGAAGGAAAGGGGCATCAGTACCTATTGAGCGTGGGAGTTAAGGGTACAGCCTCTGAATCAGAACCTCCTAGACCTTAAATACTGGAGGCTGCAAGTGGTAAGAAACAGTGGGGGGAAAAAATACCCTGGTCATACCCAGTTCATTCTCCCTTTTAGCATTCACTTTATGACATTGTGACACAGGATACTGGACAAGATGGACCTATGGTCTGACTCAGTAGATGGCAATTATTATGTTAGGTGGCAGGTATTATCTCTACCAAGGAGTGTCTTGAATCTGTGGAGGGATGCCTCCAGTCTAAAAAGATTGAGAACCACTGTTATCATGTGAGTTACAATCAAAATGGAATTTGCAGGCTGTAGGCCCAGACATGCACTTATCTGTCACATCTTGTACCTGTTATCAGTTCTCTCCATGCAAACTCAGACAGGTAAGATCCAGCCTTAGAGTTTTTAAGCCACTAGAATTAGCCTGTGCTTTGTCCCTTCTGATCTCCCAGCAATGGGTAGGCTTGGCAAAGTGGCACAGTAAGAGAGGAAAATACTGTCCATAGAGGTCTACCTTGTAAGCTATCAAAGAGTCTCTGTGGGGTTCTGTGCTATCCCTCAAGGTAGGCGGTTGCCTGTTGACTGTGTCAAGCAGCTTGTATCTTCCCCTCACTACTCTTCTCCTTTCACAGATCTATGTGAAGCAGCAGGACCGTGTTGTTGGCATCGCTCAGGACCTGCAGGTAGCAAAAATGAGCCTGATTGACCTGGCTGGCTCAGAGCGAGCTTCAGCTGCCAACACCAAGGGTGAGCGGCTCCGGGAGGGCGCCAACATCAATCGTTCACTGCTGGCCCTGATCAACGTCATCAATGCCCTGGCAGATACAAAGGTAACACTCCTCCATGGATCACTCCTTCATGTTCCTACTGCCCAAAGGGCAACAAAGCAAAGACAGTATGGCTAATACAAGGATTTCCCTGTGTGCTAAATGTAAGGATCTCCCTGCAAATATCATCAGCTCCATACTCTTAGTAGGAAATAGCTCTGGTAAAACAAGGACTAGTAGTGGGTAGGCTAACTTTCCTTTTCTAACTTTCCCTGGCTTCTTAACCTAAGGCAATGAGAATAAGTGAGCACTTGTACTTGCCAGTGCTAGGCTCCTTAGAGATATCAGAGAGCTGAGGTGAGTCCCCTGATCTCTCTCACTACAGAGCAAAAAGCCCCACATCCCATATAGAGACAGTAAGCTCACCCGCCTGCTGAAGGATTCTATTGGGGGCAACTGTCGGACTATCATGATTGCTGCCATCACCCCATGTACACTGGCCTATGAGGACACCTACAACACGCTGAAATATGCCAGTCGAGCCAAGGAGATCAAAATGTCGGTGGGTACCAAACATCTCTAAGCAAAACTGTAATTGTATAGTACCGTTGTATTAAGGGAGACCAGGGGTGAATAGGCTGTGATGGAGCTGGTTTAGTGGGTTTCATAACCTCCTATCTAACTAAAGGGATCAAGGTGTACTTACTGGTAGACACTTAGTTACAATCTCCCATGTGTCTTGTCCTTGTATTTGTGCCCCGTAGACTGTACTCCAGGACCAGCCACTATCAGCGGTGCTGATGGTGCGGAGTGCTAGATTAAGCTATACTAGCACTTCTATTAATGCTGCTTGGAGCTTAGAATTTCTCCATAGGCTACTATCCGTGACCCTTTCAGAATTGTCCCTGAAAAGTGCTCTCCAAATGATGCGGGTATCCAAGCATGTTGGCTTAAACTACAGCACAAAATCTGTCCATGAACTGCTGAAATTGTTGTTGAATTCTGTTGCTGTGTTAGTTCTCTCCCAACAATCCATGGTAAAAGGGCTGTCCTGCATCTGACGGTCTGTTTGTTTAACCCAGTCTCTTCCTTTTCTATGCTTCCTCTTCCCATTTCTATCCTGTAGTTGAAGAGTAACATGCTCAGCCTGGACTGCCACTTCAGTAATTATGCAGTTATCTGTGAGCAGCTGAAAGCAGAGGTAATGTGCCTTATATACAGGAGGTCTGGTGGGTGGTTTTGTTTTAGTTATTGCCAGACATCAGCACCTCTCTGGGACTGTAAGTACTCTCATGAGATCTTTGTGATACTACTTAACTCACTCTGCAGGCAGAGTTTTGTGATGTTAAGGAGTAGTAGACTTGAATAGGTACTTCTGGAGCAGCAGTCAGCTCTGCTGCTGGATGTCTCCTGGGGCCTGTGTTATTCTGTCACCCTTTGGCACTTGTTCTAGAACTTAAGATCTTACCTTCCAAAAAACAAATTTCTGCCCCTTATTTGTAAAGTGAGCATCCCTCATGAGAACTGAGTATAACTGACAGAGCACTGCCTGCTTACATCTATAGAAAGAAAGCCAGAAATGATAGCAGCATGATACCAATCCCTGAAATTGAGAGCAATGACTCATGAGAAGGTGGGTTTCTTGCTTGGTGACCCATATGTGGTGTCTCTTGCTACTTAGGGTCCCATGAAAGGTCAAGAGAAAGTAGGGACAGAGCAGCCCACCCAAGTGTCCAGTTCTCTCCTGCACAGTGTAGGCTGCTGTTCTCAAAAGAAATGCATTGCTCTAGAGTTGTGGGCAAACTTTGTGAGTGGTAGGGAGAAATCTGATCTAAATGGGTGGAATTTCCCTTACAGGTGGCAGTTCTGCGAGCAAAGCTCCAGACTTACGAGAGAGATGCACAAGTTGCAGACCAACAGGTGCCAGCTGCTCTGGCACACTGTAGCCCTCACCAAGCCAAACTGCTCAGGTAACATTTTACCTACCTTCAGTCTCCTTCAAAGTGGGACAAAGAGCGAACAGTGCTGCATGCTGCACCCCTTCTCCCAGGAAACCTCAGATCAGGATGCTTTAGGCCCATTTATACTCTTGATTAGATCCCAAATTATATGTCTGAGAGGAGAGCTGACTCAAAGGCAGACAAACATGTTGGCTACCCAAGTGCATCCTTCCTTCATTCAGGCACTTCTGCTGCTAATAAAACCAGGCTGTTAATCACCAGTGCTTGCCAGAGCCTGGACCTAGTGTGGAATGAAGTGGTAAGGAGTGTGGAGAAAGGTGGTTTGCAAAGACCTGTCAAAATGAGTACAGGATAAACCTTGCAAAATCTGACTATAAAACTAAGTTCTCCACAAGGACCTATTTCTGTTCAAGCTCAGGCAAACACTGCAGCTTTGTATCTGGATCTTCTTTGGCTTGGGAGCTGTTTCTTCTCAAGAGCTTTTTCAGGCTTTGATTGCTGCTTCCTCTGGCTTGCTGTAGGTCAGATGAGGCAGCCCAGGAGGTATGCTCAAATGATGAAGCCCTTTGTAAGGGGGCTCAGGAAATGGTGACACAGCAACAGGAACTGAACATAAAACCATCTTTTCAGCAGCAGGAGCTGGGAACAGCAGAAGAGGTAAGAGAAGGGCTGGTAACTAGAGGAACACTTGTACAGGTATGGAATCCTGGAGTAACCATAACAGGTGTGCAGTAGGGACAGAGCTGAATGGATAAAGGTGTCTCAGAGGTAGTGGGACACTGCTAAGGAGTAGCACAGCATATACTAGAACTGATGGAAGGGTGAGCAGCAGGGTTAGTAGAGAATCTGGGAACTGTCTTTGGGGATAAAATAAGCATTAGCATAGGAAAAGGGTAAGGCTGTTCTGAGGCTATACTCAGCTCTTGGATCTCTAGGGAATGCTTTTGGTGGTGCACACAAAGATGCCTTCTTGGATTTGCTTTAAGGCAAGACTCCAGCTGAAGAGCTGTCCCCTTCATAATGCAGTATAAGCTTCCCTACTTAGTGAGCAGGACATCTGTGTGCTGCAGCCTCTGCTCACTCAGGCTACAGAGATGCTAGTAAATGGTAAGAAAACCCCCACGTACACTGCAAATATGACTTGGGGATGAAGGAGTCAGTTATGGTTTGGTATGTGAGTGCACCCCTCTACTGTTTGTGTGCCAGATAAGATTACTATATAGTTTTGCTACCTCCTGGCAAAGTAATCAGAAGTTAAGATGCTCTCCTTACAACCAATTCAGGCTTCAGAGAAGAAACTTCGCAGCTGCGTGGAGTTCCAAAGCACAGATGCCCAGCAGAAAATCCAAGGAGCAAGCCCTCTCTTACAGGGGCTCACCAGCACCCAGACAGAAAGGTGAGTGCTCCCTGTTGTATGTGTACACATGAAGGAACCTGTGCCTTAGCCTGCTGGGAAAAATTGGTGTATAGTTTCAGCACTATGACTGTGTTCAGGCTCAAAGAGCCATACTGGGGACAGTCTACTTCAGGGGCAGGCAATTATTTTGGGCAGAGGTCCGCTTACTGAGTTTTGGCAAGCCATCGAGGGCCGCATGACAGGCAGCCCAGGGCAGATTAATATTAATTTTCTAAAATTTTTAGGGGCCCCACAGGCCGGATAGAATGGCCTGGCGGGCCGCATCCAGCCTCCGGGCTGCATTTTGCCCACCCTGGTCTACCTGGTGCTTGTGTGCCTTATGGTAATTCTGAAGCAGAGAATATTTAAGGATATGGACCTTGTGCTTTTAAACAGTTACTAAACCTATACAATGGCCCACATAAAATTGATCCAATGGGTTTCTGCTACATGATTGGGGGATACTGTGCTCTGTATGATGCCATCAAAATTGGGACTAGCTCTCAGAGTCCTAAGAACAATAATGGCCTAGTCTAAGGAACTGATATATTAAGGTACTCTTGGCGCCAAAACAAGGGCATGGAAAAACAGACCAATTAAGTTAAAAAGGGGGAAAGAAGATTGGCCCTGCATCAGCTGTTCTGTGGTAATTCCTGTGTGTCCACTCCTATTATACAGTAAACTGGGGCAGTTTAACCCTGTTTTTATTCAGGGATGAGTTGCTATGGTTTTAGCTTTTACTTAATACAGGAAAGAAAACACTTTTTTTTTTAACTTGTCAGCTGTTCCATGATAGAATGCTGTGTCCTTTGCCTTTTCTACTCAGTGTATTTTCTGTCCATACTTTAAAATACTTTGTGTCAGTGATACAGATTCCGCTAGCAGAGTAGAGGTAGAATTCTAAACACAGCAAATGTGTGAGTCTGAATTTCAGACTTCAAGGATTCATCACTCAGTTACCTCTCAAGTGCTCCTTATATACTAGGCTTCTACAGGTTTTGCACTGGCATGGTACTCAGGGCCAAGGCTGCTGGTGTCTCTGCCCCACGTGTCCCACCAGAATGGCTCCTTTTAAAATGTAACTTGTAAGCAGGATGCTGGCTTGGCTTTGTGTGTGTATAACTTGAATTTAAAATACACAAAGGCTGACAAGAGCCTGTTTGGCCAGAAGTGCTTGAAGCCTTGCCTTGAGCCCCCTGCTGTCTGCTCTGTAGTCATACCATGTGCCCACAATTGATAACTTACACTTTCTATTGTTCATGAACTCTTCAAGCAGCAAGTCTTTCCCTGCTACTGATGTGTTACAGAAGTCTGAGCAGATCTTATCACCTTGCGTTTGACTTAACTGACAAATCTATTTAACAGTTTAGCTGCAGCCTTTGAACTCCCAACAAGTTGCGCTCTACACTTGTGCTAAGCTTGCCCACCCCTTACAATAGAGCACACTTAGCAGAAACCTAAGGGGAAGCCAGAAGTGAACAGGCACATGTACAGAGGTGGTGCTTTGAGGTGATGTGCTGCTTACTGTGATCCTGGACCTCCACCCAGCCCAGGAGGCAAGCTACCCTGAAAAACTGTTGGGGCTGGCGTTTTTCCTATCTACTGCCATATTATTTTCTGTTTCAGGCTGGTAACCACTATATTGCATGTTGCCCAAAAGCAGTTCTCTCTGCTGAAGGCTGCCAACCTCCTAACCCCTGACATGATCTCTGAGTTTGAAGAACTGGAGCACCTGGTACATGGGAAAACCAGTAGACATCAAGAGCAAGTTAGAAACCTAGACAGATCCAAGGTGACCAATGAGACCAGCCCAGCCCAAGAAGCAGGACAGCACTCAGACAATGGTGAGCTCATGGTGTGTGATATTTGGAGCTGCTCTAGCTGATCACCACCTTCCTGGCTTCATCTCAGGGTTAAAGTGTACATTATGACAGCTCTGAAGAGTCTGAATGGCTTAGAGCAGGGGTGTCAAACTTGCCTGCCCCCCAGAGCTTCTCATCCATATTCAGATGTGGCAGTGGCCATGGGGGTTAATGAAGTTGTTAATTGCCGCCCCCCCCCCCCACCAC